TGGTGTTAGGGCGCAGAAATTTATCGCTGGGAAAAACTAACCACCAGAAACAAAGTAGTATCTACTATCTAAGAAAACTATCTGACCCATTAAGGCCCCATAAAACAAACGCACGCAATGCAAAACGCATTGAGATATGGATAGTTCGTTGTCCCTGGCAATTGTTTTAATTGGATTGTTTATTGGGAAACTTGGGGGTTCCGTTCCGTTGCCATGTAAGCTCAGCGGGTTGGCCTATCTTTCTTTTTGTCCTGACCTCGTTGTTGTCCGCGAAATTGAGTCAACCCATATTGCCCCCTTTTTAATGACCTACTTTGGATATTTTTCAAATCGAAACCACCGCCAAACATACGCTCTTTTTCAGGGTCAGAACAATCTAAAATGGTTTATATTTATTTTTTTGCAACACTTCCTTCATGGCCTTCGATATCACCACTGATGTCGTCAGATCTGTGGATTATTTTAGGTATGCCATTTGCTCTGTTGCCTGTTTGTCCATTCTATATGCATAGGTCTGTCTGTCTAGTAAATTAATGTCTAGCTGGGAATTCTACAAATTTATTTAGAGACCATTTTTTAAAAACGTTTGTATAAGCAGACATTTTAAAATTTATTTTTGGGGTAAGGAAATAGAAATATTATTGAACAAAAACAAGAAGACCAAAATGAAGCAGATTAAAGGTTGACATTTTATTTTTAGGGTTTATTGAAACTTTTTTTTAGCAAATATAATATATTTAAAAATTTTTTACTGCCATAAAAGATCATTGAACTGCTCAGGAGCTTGTCCCAAAAATATTTAATAACAGCAAGAATTTTTACAGGCTCCATTAATCTTTGCAAATGTCTCATTATCCCGGCAAACTCGATCGTTTTCGCTGTCTTGACCAGACAATTTTTCATATTTTAACGAGCTCAAAGTACGTGGCATATCGTAAGGAGACCCTGATATTATATAGCTACCAACAATCTGTCACAATTTATTTTAACACTTGCTGCCCCATGTCGTTACTCTGTCGCACAAAAAAAAAACAAATTGTATTTTGGCAATTGTTTTTCTTATTTTTTCGGGCTTTTCTTTTCGGAAAACATTTGGGTGACGGAAGTGCGCGTGTCGCGACGACGCCATTTAAGCCAAAAAAAAATGAATATGGCCCGAAATAATGTGTATTTATCGATTCGAAAATAAAACAGACGAAAAAGCAACGCCGCGGATGCATTAATATTTCAGCGGCGATTTGAACGCGCAAATCTGTGACGCCCTCGAGTCGCGTATTTGGCAAAGGTTTGTATCGAAACCTGACTGGAATACTCAATCAAGACGCCGCTTAATTTCCCTATATAGAAATCACAATATCGCGGCAAACAGTAGCACTTATATCGGAGTACACGTATGTAGCTATCTACATATGGATAATACAGAGGAATATATAAACCAGCCGGCCATCAACTAAACGGCCCATGGCCTGCATAAACAATTTGACGTCAATTCGTGTGGAAAGAGAACAGAATAATATATATGTGGGAGACTACGGAATCAACCGAAATCAAAATATAAAGCTAATGATTTTATTTTCATTTTTCTAGCTCTCCTCCTTTTGGCAAATAAATCAAAAAGGCAATTTGTTTGCTCATAGTCTGGTCGGAAAATAAACGACTTAAACTATCTCTTCAGGGCACAGAAATGCACTCACCAAGTGGACAACCCTTAACAAGAATGACTCAACCAGACCAACCACTAAATTGAGCCAAAGGGCGGTTTATTTTTACCAAACAAAGGCAAAAAAAAAAAATAGTATTTTGTTGGCCAAGTTGCCAAGTTGGAACGAGGCAACATTGAAAATAAATATGCAAAGAGCGATAATATTTAGCCGGTGACCCTTAAAAAGCAATATTTGACATTTGTGCTCAAAAGATACATTTCACGAGTGCGGCATAACAAGGCAAGCAAACAAAAGGGGAAAATTTAATGGAAAGGTATGCCAGAAAGTAGGAAAATACTCTATAAAATTATAGAATAATGAGAATATATAAACAAAAGAAATAAGTTTTAAGGGCAAATTAGGAAATTATATTAAAAATCAGTTAGAATTTAATTCAACTTTAAGATAAAACACAGAAAATTACCTAAAAATTCTAATAATTTGTGTTCTCTCTCCATAAAATCAGAACTTGACAAATTGAAACGAACACATAATCCACTTCATTCTTTAAAACCAAAACTCCCACAAAAATCAACATGATCGTCAAATTTTTGACATTTCTAGAACTGCAAGAATGATATAGTAGCTCCCTATTCGAACATCACCACATGGTAAAGCCAAAAACTGACATGAGAAATGATGTAGTGCATTGAATCATATATTCATATTAGGCCAAACGAATGAGTTTAGTCCGAATACATATATCTTATTTTTTTGGGGGGCCTTAATTGCCGACGAACCGATCCAATTTTAGAGGAAAACTATTGGAAAAACAAACGCACACGATGGCGATCATTTCAGAAGATGCGGCTGCCAAATAGATACAAGTTCCTAGCACATCGAGTAGATACAAATTTGGTTCCTAAGCTGAATCATGACTGGGGCCACACCTATGCACCTCAGCTGATGTAATACTCGCATGTACCATGTACCAGCGGATGTTTTTAAATGTTTATAAACAATTAAGGAAATGGTACAGAGAACAAATTGGTAAAATAATATTACATTTAGAGATTATATTTATTGTAAAAATGAAGTCGGAATTCCTTAAAATAAATGCATATTTCTTTTATGAAATTTTCTATAGATTTTCATATTCTAATAATAAATAAGATAGTCCCTATATAAAATACTTGTAAAAATTATATAAAATATCTCCAAACATCGTTATATTTTTCTTCATGTGCAGGTTTACTTGTACTTACACTTATAGCGCGTACTGTCGGACATTTAGGTGGCGAGCTTTATCATTCCAGAACAGAAAGTTAGCCGCTTCTCTGGGGCGATTTCTTGCGTTTCTTTTCGGTGGTTTGAGGTGCGGGCCCCGTGGAATAACCACGTTTGTTTAGGCCGCTCACGTTGTCACAGAAACACAGCGGGCAACAAGGGGTTAACACGAAAGGGGGAGGTGGGTCTAAGTAAACCGAGGGCCAAAGTATGTTAGAAAGTAAAACGCGCGAAAACAAATGCCACTATTGATTACTAGAAAAGCACACACACTGCGCACACACACAACGCACACTCGCGTGAAAAACCGGCGAAGTTAACCGGAGTCGCAGTGTTGTATTTGTTGTGACAGGCTCGCCTGTCTGCACTTGTTGTTGTATCTGTGTTGACAATCCAATTAGCAAGTTAAGATAATGCCATATACCCCTTAAGTTATTCCAAGTATATGTCAAATGCTTTTGGATATGTATAACGTTTAAACCCACATAGAAATCGCTGAAATATCTTTGGGGATTTGGTAGAACCCGAAAATGTGATTTCGTTTAGAATTTTGGCAAGAAACGCGTGGAAAAGCCACCAAAGACCGCGACGGAAAGGCGGAAAAACGCGACCGGAAAACGCGACGCGATGCGATACGACCGGGAACACAACCAAAGCAGAACTGAATGGCCAGCAACGGAATCAATGGCCAACACATTCTACCAAAGACGACCCCTCCTGAGAGCAAGAGCTTTCCTCTCACTCGGAAAAGTCGGGAAGAATCGGAAAAATGCCTATGCTATTTTTGCCCACGCCGGAAAACGACTCAAAGAGCCGGACGAAGAAACGTTTGGCTGAACATTTCAACTGAGCGTTTTGTTTACATTCTTTTTTTGCTTTTTTTGACTGAAGGCGCGCCGGCGTCCAGCGGATGAAAGTGAAATTCCAAGTGGAATGGTAAGTTGGGGAGAAAAGTTTACGGTATAAAGGGGAGGTCAGTGAAACGGTTATATATTTTAAAATAACTTAAAACCATGCCCAAAAATGCTGTAATATAAATAAATAATAATAATATAATAGTGTATAAAATAATAATTAATATTTAAATCTTGAATAGGAATCTTCAGATTTGGAAAATGGTTAAGTTAATAAATACAAATTTATAAAAAAAAAAATATATATATAATTTTTAAGATTCTTTTTAATAAAATGAAACTATTATTATTTTAAATAACAGATCAATTTGACGAAATAATTAAAATAATATTAAGTAAAATATGAAAAATTATTATAATTAAATAATTCAATGACTTTCCATTAGAACTTTTGATAAAACCCTCCAAAACATTGACTGTACCCCCTACGTGTGTAAATAGACTTGTAACGGTAAAACATATTTTGCCGCGCACGAAAACTCACCTTTATGAATACAGCTGGGACTTCCTCCGACTCCTGCCAGCAAACAACAGCTGTTTTAGATCTCCTGACTCCTCCAAAATAAATCACTGCCCTCCAGATAAAAGGATGTACATATCGTCGTTTATATACCCGAAACGCTTTGACTTTTATTTACACGTGACACACACGCACGCACTGCCGAACACAAACACAGGCGCACGCACAAATAAACAGTTGCATTTGCCGGTTTTGGGAGCACGTTTTGTTGTTGTTGCCGCCAGATAAAATATGGAAATTATTAATCATCGCAGATAACTTACCTGTTTGCAAACGCTGATTCTGCCTCCTCTCACCTTAATCCAATCTAAGTACTTACTAAGAGGTGTTTAAATTAATTATTAAGTATCACACACGGTTTTATTTACGCGCCGCGTTTTTTTTTGTCCTGCAAAATCTCAGGGTTTTGTGTGAAAATGCAATAAAACAATGTAGCGGTGGCTTACGAACTATACACGGAAAAACACACAAACGCGCCCGCGAAATGCACTTTAGTTATAGTTTTTTAATTGCTTGACAAAAGCTTAAATTTGGCATTTGTTTTATTTACAATCTTATAGGTTTCGAGTGGCCTTTTCTCCCACAAATCCCAAATCCCCGGCAATTCGGCTTGGCATAAAACCGATAATTCCCATTGGTCACACTAAAACAGCTGTTCTGCTAGTGTTGGAAAACATCACTTTGCTGAAACACATTTTGGTTGAATTCAACATTTTGTTTAAATTCTCTTAACAAAAATCGTGGTTTTCGATCGAGATAGTCTGCAAAAAGTCTTTAAGATGGCCCGAACCGAGTTGGAGAAAAAGGCCAAGCGCCAGGGAAAGAAACGCAAGCACGAGGCGGCCAGAGACGCTGGTCATGCGTCCAGCGACGACGAAGTGGCCATCAAGTCGTTGGTCCTGGAGCCACAGGGAGAACAACCTGCAACTGACAAAGGTGGGTAGAGCCTCCCACGTAGACTGAGAAATTATATCACCTTTACTCCATCTAGATAAGGCACCCAAAAGGCGGCAGCAGGAGGAAGACACTCAGATAAAAAAGAAACGCAGCAAGAAATCCACTTCAGAGGAGCAGGTGGCCACCAACGGAGGCGAGAAATCTTCCAAACAAAAGTCCCACAAGCGCAAGCAAGCCCAGGGTGAGACTCCAGCCATCCTGGAGAAGCGCAGCAAGCAGCAGACAAATTCGGACGATGACGACAACGAGGAGGATACCCAACCGACTGAAGAGCAACTCCGTGAAGCTGCTCTACCGGAGAATACCAATGCTGTGGTCACTGTGCGCCAAAAGAAGAAGCTGAAGCACCAGCAGCGCCTGGAAGCCCAACGAGGTCAGAATTCAAACAAGGAGGCCAAAGCTAACAAGGAATACCTCTTGAAATGGAAAGAGTCCCGCGACGAATGGAAATTCATCAAGCTTCGCCAGATCTCCATCCAGCAGACGGCCTTTGATGGGGACAAACTTGATGCGGAGCTGTGGCCAATAGCTCTCGAATATTTGGCCAGCTCCCAGGGAGCAGCGCGCGCCAAGATCAGTAAACTGGCCGAGGAGGTGATTCAGCAACTGGATAATGAGGGGGAGAAGCTGGAGGACGAGGCGGAGCGGCAGAAGCTAATCGAATCCACGCGGTACCAGCGGGCGCGCGATCTGCTCCAAAACTTCGACTAGAGTTACCTGTTAATGTTAAGGTTTTTCCTAGAATATAAAAGAAATCGTTACCCATTTTATTTTCACATGCAAACAACGAAAAGTTGTTTAATATTAAGAGTGAAGTTCAATAAAAAAAATGTTAATTTTACCATGTCACAACAAATGAAATGTATTGGTTTTGAAATTCGGTAAAATTCTTTTAATGTTAAATACCATAAACCCCCTCCCCTTAAACCAGTAATAACGACAAATCATTGTCATAGTATTCTTAAGAAGGTCACCTTTTAATTCTACTTATAAATATTTACAGGTCCACATATGCCAGCAGCTTGTCCAGGTGATCCACTCGCTGTTGCAGCAGCTGCTGCTCCTCTTCTTTTAGCTTCAGCTTTTCCAGTTGCTCTCCTTTGAGGAGAAAATGTTGCAGGAAAAGCCGTACACTCTGCTTAAATTGCTGAAGCTTCGTGTTCTTGGCCACACGTTCGAAGGTCTGATAGATTTCCCGCTCATCTGGGGCCAAAAGCAGCCGCACCATTACCTCCTTCATAAAGAAGAAACTCAGTTTGTCCAGTTGCATAAAGTCCACCACTTTCAGCACGGAGAGCTGCAATCCAGCCGAAAGGATTAATTGCTGAAGGAAACTGGCCAGATTTCGAATTTGTGGCTTTGATAGCGATTCGATATCATTGATGCGATCCCAGCTGGCAAACTGAAATGCTAGCTGATACTTTCGATTATACTGGCAGAACTTGAGGGACAAATGGGCGTAGTAGGGATTGGCACGCTTCTCGTTGAGGGCACAATGGATGATCACATAGGCCACCGCTCGTTGATCCTTTAGGGCCAAGTGCAAGATCTTTTCAAAGGCATCGACATAATCGGCGGCACTCATAATTATGCAGAAGATATTCTTTCGCTCTGCAGTATTCATTTGCTGCTTTTTGGCCAGTTCCAAAAGTTTGTCAGCAAAGCCCGCGTTTGAAGTCTTGGACGAGTTTGCATCCTGCTTTTGTTTGGCGGAACCCATTTCGTTAAGGTTTCCTGTCCAGGCAGAGCCCACAATCCACCACTTGCCAACTTTATCGGCACGCAGGAGATCCTCCAGTGTTATATTCAAGGTGACCACATAGCGATCGTTCTTCAGCATGGCCTTTAAGCGCTTGCGCAGATTCTCCGCCAGCTCAGGATCGTATTGGGGTAACTTCTGCATATTATTGTTCTTAACTGCATTCAGGATATCCACCATGAAGCGCAGGCGAGGATTCTCTTTCAGTTCCAAGGGAGCGGCGGCAATTTGGGCTTGAACTCGTTGCATCATGGTCTTGAAGGCCAATGGATCGTCTTTTCGCAAACGGAAACCTATGGTTTGTAAGATCAGTAGCAGGCACTCCACACTCTTCTCGCAAAGCTCATCCGATAGTCTGCCAATCAGTTCCATTAGCAAGCTCAGTTCGAAGATCTTGAACATGTACATGTAGCAGAGGATTAGCACTAGGTTATTCAACTGCTTGTCCTCCACCTCCAAGTTAGAAATATTCTTAATATGACCATCGAACAGCTCCACAAAAGTCTGCAGAAAGTGGGCACCTATTTCGCTACCTATTTGGGCATGAAGGTAGGCCAATAGCACCATATGCTCCTGTACCATGCGCTCGTTGGATCGCGTGGAGCCCAGCAGAGCCTCCTGCAGCAGTTTTGTCAATGTGTCATTCATGTTGTACCGCGAGTTCTTCATATAGAGCGCCTCTATGCCGGCGGCAATCTTGTGGAGATTCGCCTCGGACAGACGATTGAGCAGACCCTTGCACTGTTTCTGGAGGCGGGCCAGGATCTCGGCTTGCTTTTCGCTCGATCCAGCGCTGGCAGCTAACAGAGCTCGCTGATGAGGTGGTATATACTTTTGGCCCGTGGCAGAGGCCTCTTGCTCGATGGGATCGGGCAGGATGTTGCCCTCAGCATCACGTTTGCGACCGTAGATGTCCTCCTTAACTGTAAAATAAAGAGAAAAGATTAGTGAATGTCTGTATTTTGAAAATGCACTTACCTTTGGGTTGCTCCACCTCCTGTTCGGATTCCTCCTCGCTTTGTTCTTCATCGTCGCTTAGCTCCTCATCCTCCTCATCATCGTCCCGTGACGACTCGCTATCATCATCGGGCAGTTCACCAGTTAAGCCATCTTCCTGCTCTTCATCATCTTCACTCCACATGCCCGCCTCCTCCTTCTCCTGTTCCTCCTTAAGACGCCGCTTACGCTCCTGTTTTTCCTCCCACTTTTGCTTCTCCTCCTCGTCGTCCAGTACAAAGTCCAAGAGGTAATCCAGACCATCATTGAACATTTTCCTCACCAGGCGATTCTTGTCCTTGCTTTTGTTGAGCTTCAGCTTTTTCTCCAGCTTGGCAATCTCTCGATCCTCCTCCTCGTTCTCCAGACGCAGTTGTTTGAGTCGCTGCTTCTTAGATTTGCCCTCTAGCTCTTTTTGCTGGCGCAGCTCTTTTTTCCTGACCTCCGCTTCATCCTGCCTGGGTATGGCGCCACCCTTAATCTTTACCTTCTTTCCCAGCGGCTCATAGATCTCAACCTTGGCTTTTTTGGGCATCAGGGCGTCCACCTCTTCATCGCTGAAGTCTGAGGCTATGGATTCGTCGTCATCGGATCCTATTTCCCCGGATAAAAGCTGCTCCTTGGGTATATCCTCAGGATTTATTTTTGGTTTCTTAGTCTTTTTCTTCTTCTTGCCTTTGCCTTGCAGCGACTGCGCTGCCAGCGCCTCGGCTGCGGCTACCACGCGCTGTGTCCCGTTACTTTTGCCGGCGTGATAAAGACGTTTATTTTCCTTTTTCGCCTCGGTTTTCTGTTTCCTTTGCTCCTTGCGCGTTAAGGGCTTCTTATGAGCCTCCTTTTTCTTTATTTTAACCATTTTCGGGCGGTAAATACAGCCGATTTGTTAGACTTTTTAAAAATTGTTGTGATAGGCAAAAACAGCTGTTCGGAGTAATGACAAGTGTTGGTCAACAACACGTGCGAGTGTCCCCATTGGCTTAGTGACAAAATTTCAAGAGGGATCTTAGAATACAGAAATATAGGTTTCAAAAAATGGTTCTAAAATTCGGATTAGAATAATATATATTCTTTTTATTTATTTTTTATTTTAATAATCGTGTTTTGGGTTTTCACTTTTCCCCAACCCCCTTTACGCCACCCTTGCTCACCGAAACCTTTGGCCTTTTTTAGTGCTTTTTGTGAACGCACAACAAATTTTATTTAATTTCTGAAATCCTAAATAAAAAGCTGAACCCCTGACCCGCCATGTCCTCGAGATGGTATCCCATCTACCAGCGCGGCAACCCGCAGCTGCGCGTCTTTCTGCCCAACTTCTGGATGAAGCTTATCCGGCCGGCGGAGGAGCAGCCGCCCAATGTGGTAACGTTCTCGGTGTCAATGGAGATGACCAAGTATGATGTACGAAACTACTTGGAGAAGATCTACAAGCTGCCAGTGGTGGATGTTCGCACTAGGATAGCGCTGGGCGACACCAAAAGGGACCAGACCTACGGCTATGTAACCAAGAAAGATGATGTGAAGCTGGCTTATGTAACACTGGTAAACATGGAATTTTGATGTCTTTTACGGAATACTTAATAATATTCTTTTTTGCAGCCCAAGGAGGAGTCCTTTGTGTTCCCAGAGATGTTTGCCGAAAAGGCGGAAAAGCAGGCTAAGGAGGAGAAATCGCTGGATGAGTCCAAAGAGGGCTTCAAGCGATTCCTAGATCGCAATAAGAAGAGACCCGGCACACCCGGCTGGTTTTCCATTTAGGTTTTATAACTGTATAGCTTAGGTTATTTTTCTGTTGTTTCAACGGGGTAAATAAACATTTATTTCGAAAGTCCGAATTAACTTAAAGCTTGGCTTCATCTTTGCGGGCAACTCCTCTAGAGAAATCCCTTACTGCTTCGTCTGCTTGACGGCGGCGGCAACCCAGGCACGGATTTTGTCCTCATCCTGAAGGCCCACCATGCGCTGCACTTCCTTGCCATTCTGCATCACCACCAGGACTGGAACAGCGGCCACATCATAGTCCAGAGCCAATTCGCTGTGCTCATCTATGTCGACTTTAGCCAATTTGATGGATCCTTTCTGTTCGCCCACGACATTCTCGATACGCGGGGTCAGCAGCTTGCAGGGGTTGCACCAGCTGGGAGTTCACAATAACATTAATATTTAAAACTGGTTAGGGAATAAGTACTATATGTACGTACGTTGCGAAAAAGTCCACAACAACGGGTTGCTGGCTGTTCTTCACTTTCTTGTCGAAGTCCTCGGCGCTCTGTACTTTGAAGATCTCTCGACGCTGTGCGGTAACTGACAACGGTCGCATCTGCTGGGCAGTTCCCAGACGGCGCGTCAGGATATTAATCATTTGTCGCTGCATCGTTAATTTGTTGCTATTTGTGGCGTAAAACGTAATGGGACTTTGTTTTTATTGCAGAATGAAGACAAGAGAATGTCAGTGTGGCCAGACTGCGAAATGAGAATAGGGTGTGGACACACTGATCCAGAGGTGCTACTAATTTTGTGCTTCTGTCGTTTATATAAAATATTTAAAAAATAAATAGATAAATAGGCTTTTAATATATATTTGATTCAGTGTCAACCGTATTTCATTATTTTTCTAGAGAGACACACAAACAAAAATTTAGTAAATTCATTTTTTTCTGTTATCTGCTTCCCTTCACTGAGCATCTCTAGTAGCTAGATTTCACCACTCGCACACGGTGTGCACACACTGGACCCTGGTGGCCTGCCACTTGCATATTTTTGTTTTCCGTAAAAATATCAAAGTTCTTGGCTACAAATTAAAATTAAAATTAGTTACACTCTGCAATACGTAATCGAAGGCGTTAATTGGACCAGTAACGAGGGCGCCCAAACCCGGACAGTGGGCGGTAGAGGGGCCAATTAGCGACATTGCCCAGCGAACTGCGCAAATGCCCGATGGCACTACTCTCGGCACTCGCCAGGCTGCAAATTAAGGAATAAATCAAGGAAGGACACAGGATGGATGACCTGTCGCAGGGCGACATCTGTCGCGTGTGCCGCTGCGAGGCGCAGCCGGACAGGCCGCTCTTCTATCCCTGCATCTGCACGGGATCCATTAAGTACATTCACCAGGACTGCCTGATGCAATGGATGCGCTACTCGCACAAGGAGTACTGCGAGCTATGCGGCTATCGCTTCAGCTTCCAGCCCATTTATGCCCCGGATATGCCCCGTGTCCTGCCGCTTAAGGACGTGCTAGTGGGACTGATGTCCGCCGTCTTGGAGGGCGCTCGCTGCTGGCTCCACTACTCACTGGTGGGCATGGCCTGGTTTGGAGTGGTTCCGCTGTCGGCCTACCGCACCTACCGCTACCTGTTCCGGGCCAGCTCCTTTGACATGATCCTCACGCTCCCGTTCGACATTTTCTCGATGGAAAACCTAGCGTCGGATGCCTTTCGCGGCTGTTTTGTCGTAACCTGCACGCTGTTATCGTTCATAGGACTGGTATGGCTGCGCGAGCAGATACTCCATGGCGGCGGTCCCGATTGGCTGGATCGGGATGATGCACCCTTACAGCCTGCCGCACCGGCTCCAGCTCCAGCGCAGGCAGCAGAGGCCGTTGCTGCGGAGCCGCAGGATGACAACAACAATGGCGATGCACCGCAGGATGTGCCCATGGATAACGAGGCGCCAGCCCCAGCGGATAATGAAGCAGCCCAGGATGCAGCCGCCCAGGAAGCAGCTGCTGCTCCAGCAGTGGCCGCTGCCGCTGTGGACGCCGATGCCGATGAACAGAACTGGAATCCCATGGAATGGGATCGTGCTGCCGAGGAGCTGACTTGGGAACGCCTCCTGGGACTGGATGGCTCGCTGGTTTTCCTCGAGCACGTCTTCTGGATCATCTCGCTGAACACCATGTTTATATTCACGTTCGCCTTTTGTCCCTATTGCGTGGGCAACTTCATCCTAAGCTCCATGGATCTGCTGCAGCCGGAGAAGCCACTGCTGCACTTTCACGGGCTGATAACGACGCTCTTTGGATACTGCTGCATTGGCCTGACCCTGGTGGTGCTGCACTTCTTCGCCCGAGTGTTTCGACTGAGACGCGTCTGCTGGTTCATCGGCCTGTGCTATATTGTGGTGAAGGTGTCGCTGCTGTCCGTGGTGGAAATCGGCGTACTGCCTTTGATCTGCGGCTGGTGGCTGGACATTTGTTCACTGCCCTTGCTGGATGCCAGTCTAAAAGATCGCAAGGCGAGCTTCAAGGCGGCACCGGGCACCTCGCTCTTCGTCCACTGGATGTTTGGCATGGTCTATGTGTATTACTTTGCTGCCTTTATATCGCTGCTACGAGAGGTTCTACGACCGGGCGTCCTCTGGATATTCCGGAATGTAAATGATCCAGACTTTAGTCCGATTCAGGAGATGATCCATGTACCGATTGTCCGGCATATACGACGTCTGGTTGCCTCGGCCATGATCTTTGGCTTTGCGGTGCTGCTCATGCTTTGGCTGCCCATCCGTATTCTTCAGTTTGCCTGGCCGAATTTCTTGCCCTATGCCTTGAGTGGTGATGCGGAGGTCAATGATCTGAGCCTTCAGTTGCTTCTCTTGCAGGTGAGTGAAGCCTTCCAGGATTTTAAATCCTTATTAACACAATTCTTTATATTTTTTCGATTTATTTCAGGTTGTCTTGCCCGGCTTCTTTGAGCAAATCCAGACGCGCATTTGGCTTAAGGGACTTCTACGTATTTGGTGCACTGCCGTAGCCTGGCTTCTAGGTATCCGTAGCTATCTGCTGCCAGCGCCTGAGCCAGAGAATAACACAGCCGCCGAGGAGGAGGGAGTTGATGTCGCCGCCGCCGCCGAGAATGCCAATGAAGGAGATGCCGAGGGCGAGGGAATTGCTGCTGCAGCACCACCGCCACCATTGCCCCCACCTCCGCCGCCCGTAGAACCATTGCCAGCGCCACGGAATTTAGCTGCCGCTCATCAGGCCATCATGCAGCGGGATGCACCCGTCGGTTTCCAGCCTTACGACAAGCCCTCGCTGTTCGCCATTCGACTGTGCGCCCTACTGCTCCTCATGTGTCTCTCCATTGTGTGTGCCGCCATGCTGACGCTCACGGTGCCCGTGTACATTGGCCGGCGTTTAATGTTGCTCTGGACAGGCAACCCGGCTGATAAGGCTGCTGCAGGAGCGGCGGTAGCTGGCGGCGCAGGAGCAGCCGGTGTGGCTGGAAATCTGGCAGCTGTGGATCCGGAGGCTGCTAGGAAAAACGAGCGATTGCTGCGTTCGCACGAGCTGTACACCGCCGAAATTGGTGGCTACCTGTGCTGGATTATATTTCGAGGAATCGCTGTGGTGGCCACTCTGCTGCCGCAAGGACGTGCGGCCATTATAACGAAACTAAAGGATTGGGCGCGAGTGGCATTGCGATATGCTTTGCCTGTCTTAACCCTGCTAGGAATCTTTGTGCTGGTTCCTCTGCTATTTGGCCTGCTGCTGGAGTTGGTCGTGGTGATACCTTTAAGGGTGCCCTTGCGCAAGACACCCATACACTTCCTGTGGCAGGATTGGGCGCTCGGAGTGCTGTACAGCAAGATTGCTATCGCAATGACCCTCATGGGTCCCGATTGGCATCTGAAGCGAGCCCTGGAGCGGGCCTACGTGGATGGATTGCGGGACTTTGATTTGAAGTTTGTGATGCGTGACTTGGCGGTTCCAATAGTTACTACTTTTGGTTTAGCCTTGGCCGCGCCCTATGTCCTGGCACACATGGTGTTCCCGATTTTTATCGCCGACGCCTATGGACGGCATGTCGTCGCTCGCATGGTGTATCCTGTTAGCTTTATTGTTGTGGGCAGCATCTGCTTCGTTTTGTTCCAGATCAAACAGCTGAAGAAGCTCTATCTGTCCATCAAGGCGGATAAGTATTTGGTTGGCCAGCGGCTGGTCAACTATGAGCACCGCAAGAAGCAGCAGCAACAGCAACAGCAGCAGCAGGCGGAGGAGGAGGAGCAGCAGAGGGCCGCCAGGGAGCTGAAGGAGCACCAGGACAGAGAGCGGGATAGGGAACGGGAAAGGGAGGAGCTGGCACGCGAACCGGAACTGGAACAGCTTCTGTAACGAGTTAAGGTGAGATTTTGGTTTCATATATTTGTAAAATTTTAAAGTGGAATATAAATAATTACTGTAAATAATGGCAGAAAGCATTCAACTTATGAAGAATCTTAAATTTGTCTTTAAAGATACATATATTCCACAAGGAGCTATTGAACCGCCAGTGGAGCTGCATCAGTTGCTGGATATACATACATATATCTCTGTTTAGTCCATACGTTTTTTTTTTTGGGAGTTTAACGTGTGAAAAAAATAAATCTAATTTTTGCACTTCCTGCTGCGGCTCCCTTTCCACACAGCCTTTAGTTTACTTTTCGTTTTTATGATTAATAATCTGTTAGCTAAAATTGTTGTTAAAAAAAACCTTACCCATGTATCGCTAATAGGTCCTAAGTTGTATGATATTTTAAGACAGCCGCTGCGCCAACCCCCAAACACCCTCAAGCCCCCAGAGTTCACATAAATAATCTATTCAATGTAATTGACAACCTTTTATTAGAGTCATATGCAAAAAGGAAACAAAAAACAAAGAAAAAACTAAATTATAGAATGATTAACAACCGAGCGAAACTTTCAAAGGAAAAAATCCAAAAATTCAACATGGTAAAAGTGGTGAAAAAGAATTCTAAGGATAGTGAAGACATTTTCGAGCTAGCTTTACGAACTGTAAAAATTATATATGTATACATATAAATATAACTGATTTAAAATTAATTAATAAATTTAACTTTAAACTTCAACGGGAAATTAAAAGCAAGAGTTTTAAGGACTTTTATGGGTTAAATCCTAACCCAAAAAGTAAGTAAAGTAAAACAATTATGCTTGTGTTTACTCGTATTAAACCGATTGCCAAATGATTGTGATCCATATAACCATTCAGACATCTGTTATTCTTGTGCGCCGCCAAGTCAAAAGGCATAAGAAATATAAACAGACAATTAATCAACGTCCAAACATATTAAATGAAGCACCATATAATACGTACAAGTGGGGGCCAGTGGATGAGAGGTGCACTCAAGTGAGCTAATCATTGAATTTGTTCTTCTCAGCTGTGAGGGGCGATGTCAATCATACGCCCTGTGTGCCAGCAGCAATTGACAGACACGTGACTCTCCCCTCACCGCTGGCGTATGAAGAATGACCAGTAAATAGTGAACACTGAAGAATGAAGGGAATTTCAGGATGTTTTCCACAAAATGCCTAACTGAAAAAAAAAATTAAATAAAAAAAAAAAAATAGCTCGAAAGTTAGCTCCAATTTTCCGTTGTTGGCTTTTTACCCCCCGCAAAAAAACTTTGGGCTTTATTGTGAATTTGTTGCTGCCTGAAACGACGACGACGAGGACACAAATAGAAAAGTTGGCAATGTTTGTAACTTAAATTGTTTTGTGGTTTGACATGGCCACGATTGTTTCGACCGAAAGCAAAGTGGCTTATGTGCCGTGGCTATTAAAATGTGTGGCAGGTCCTCTCATCCCCAACGCCATACTATGCTCTCTTACCATTCCCTTTTCCCCAGGACTTTACCAAATTAAACACTTACCAAAGTTGGCGTGGGCACAGGGATTGGGACAGGGGACAGTGTACAGTGGGAAGCAGAGATAAACAAATAATAAAATGAAATCAAATAATTTGCATTATGTCAAAGTTGAAAGTTGCTGAAACATTTTACTTTCCAGCGCGTGCTTAAGTAGAGGGCAAAACCAAAATGGGAACAAATGGACGTCAGTGGCGGTGGTGGCGGTTCGACATTTATATAAAGTTGACAAAACTTTGGCGCGTGTTGGAGTGACCCAAGACGGGGATAGTGGCATCCAATCCATCTCTGTGATTTTTACTCCCACACTCCAAAGGCAAAAGGTTTGCGTTCAGTAAAACAAAATTTTAAAGTCTTTTCAAATGGAATACATTTTAATTAATACGTCTATTGGTATTAAGTAACTAAAGCTGAAACACTAAAAAATAATAAAGTAATGAAAAATAAAAATTTTTAAATATTTTAAGATCATTTTTATTTTTATTTTTAAGAGAGTTAAGTCTAAAGAATTTGTTTTTATTTGTATGTGCAAAATAACCATAATAACAAGCCTTAATTTCTTACTCTGTATTGTTCGAAATTCCTCAAGCTGCATAATTTTGCAGCGGGCGGAAACAGTTCATTAAGCTGAATAGCTCTGTTTGGCAAAAATACTTTTTAATTGGATTTCCAACTATGTTATGCGAATGCATTGCAGAATAGGAGATGCAATGTGTGTGTGTGGACTCTCAAGTATTTACCTTCGTAAATCAATACTCTAGTTTTCTGCCTGTCATTGAGATTACACAGACGCACAAATAAAATCCCACATAATTCAAAATGTCCTTTCTAGTCAAAGACAAGGATCAACAATGCACTTTTATGGCTCTATTAAAAGACTATAAAAATATATATTACAAGTTGATGGCATTCCTGGTCCGGTCTTGAACTCCCCCTTGCCCTAAGCGGATTTCAGGCTTAAAGTTGTTCCCACACACACACACTTTAATGTTTTTGGGGGGCCGAAAATTCCTAAAGGACCACAGTAAATGCCACAAAATGCCAGCAACCAGACAAATAAAGTTTTTGCAAAATGTTCAATGACGCTGGGCAAACGCCACAACACACAAACACACAACACTTGCTGACTGCCAACAGCTACTGCTCCGGCTGTCTATCAATTTATTTAAAATTTCATTTGAATAATTAAACCGTCTCGCTTTCATCCATCCACGCACTTCTCGCTGACCATCTCCATTTGGGGAAAATATTTAATTACTTTAAATAATGCAAACAGTAAATGTCGAGCTGCGGCTAATTTGAATTGTGGCCGTGCTTTATGTTCTGTGTGTGTGTGTGTTTTGTAAATTGCATTACTGATTTTAATTATCATTCATTACGCATTTTGCACTCAGATTTCAGCTGAAAATTCTAATTACCACTCTCCAAAGTAATCAAATATTTTGTTTCCTTACTGCCAGCGATGTGGCTAATCTAAAAATTGAATGAATAATATATGTATACAAATGAACAGAGAGATGTCAGCCAGTTTTGTCAACAAGGGGAGAGGGAAGTACTTTATGTGTAACCCACTTTTTCATCTTGAACTTTGCTTCCTTGTTGGAAAATTAACAACTTCATATGTCAGCTCGGATGACTTTATACCTCTTGGGTTAACAGTCGAAGTTGAGATAATAGCAATTAATTACTTAGGACAAAAAGTAAAGACATAAAAACTCCATTTTAATGTGTTTTATATGATTGCTAATGTGCATAGTAAAGTTTTAAAAGCAAAATCTATCTGCGTGCAACCAATAAAAATAGATAAATTAAATAAAAAAACTTTAACTTATTTATAGATTAGACACACCAACAAACGAACTTAAGTATAAAAAAAATATTTAAAAATATATCTAAAACAAAACCTTTAACTCATGAGCTATTTTTATGACCTCCAGTGTGTGTACACATTTAGATGTCACTTTTTTTTTCGTGTGAAGCCGGCTTTACTCGGCTTTATCATTTGTCGCGCATTACGGGGCGTATGCGTAATGTGCCAAGGCAAGGGCTTTAAGCGGAGCTCATTTGCATGAATTGTTCCGCAGTTTGTTATTGTTATTGTTACTGGTGGCTGGTAGCTTCCGCTTGAGGCTCTTATCAAGCATAACCAACACTTCATAAATTGTCTAAAATTAGCCATAAAACAAAGCAAACAACCGTTGTTGCAACAATCTCAAGAGTGTAGCAACCTGTTCCCGGAGCTCCTTCCTCCGCCTTCTGCCCACACTCGACACTAAGCTCGTTATGCTTTATTATGGCCCTGCACCCTTGACATCCAACCACCCCCAACCCCTCAGCCATGGCAACTATATGGGATATAAATCCGGTGAAAGTCGCGGGGAGTGAGAAGCGAAATATGTCTGCTCTGTGCTGCTGTCCCCCGGTTGCCACACTCTTGGCCGCTGAAGTGGCCTTTTGATTTCCGTTGACATAATTTATTATTTTGCCCAACGCAAAAATAAAATAATTTGTATAAAAGCATTGCCCAGGGAAACACAAATCGGGGGCGGGGGGTGGTTGAATCCTAAAAAAACCCTAAAATAGTTAACCATAGAAGAGAGCGAAAACAAAAACAGGAGTGGATAAGTTAGGACACCTGCTGGATTCCCTAGAACAGGCTAAGAATCTGATTTTTATGGAAATTTTAATTTTGGGTAAAAAGAAAAATAAATGTGAATAATAGAAGAAACTTGAAGGAATCGTATAACTATACTATAGATTTGATTTATTTTGGTTATAAATTGCTTATAAATTTATTTTAATTTTTCAAGTTCTTAAAATAATTTCCAAGTAGCAACATATCTATTTCCATTTTAGATATACCCCAAATTGAACAGGATAAAAGGTGTTCAGCTTAGCCTGGCTGGATAAACAAAAAACTTCCGCTGCCCAAAGAGAAGAGTCCTGCGAGCTTGAATACCCCAGCGTATTTATTTACTTTTTGGGCTTTCGGGCAACCACAACAATAGACGAGGAAAACGGACGCCGGACCCAACCCTGTTCTTCACACTTTAAAGATGTATAAGTAGATATATAAAAAATCCCAGTGTGCATTTGACTTCGTTTTTTCACTACCTTTCCGGGGTTAAAGTTTGAAGTTCGGGGTGTTACTTTTTATGACCTGCAGCAGCCGTTGGCAGCGTCTGATTGAGCGTGAAGTTGTAAAACTTAAGGAGTGCTAAGTGCCCCTTGTCCTGGATTGCCGCTCCTCGCCGGCTTATGGCCAATAAAGCACGCATGTCGGCGCCAGGACTCAAGGACTCTAGGAAAAAAAAGAAGAAGAAGCAAAAAAAAATTAAATATTCCCCGGCTCTGGCGGTTTCCTAGATGGGACATTAAGAAGGTGTGCTCTCCGTGGACAGTGTCCCCTTGCGGGACTGGGGAAAATTTATGAGTTGCTTGGGCCACCCGGAAATGTGGTCAACGGGATGGAGAGATTAACCCGACTTACCAACCACTTGTTCCGGGGTCCTTGTAAACCCATTTCTTTAGTTGACCATAATTTAAGGCGATTAATGGATGGAGTGGGGAAAAGGACGTAAAGATACCACAGTTCATATTTTTATTCCCTTACCGGAAGTCCCCTTTTAAGATGACAGTTTTCCCTTTCTTAATGTCTAATTTAAGCATTATCTCATTAGAAGATTTTGACAACAAAGGTAATTCAAACTTTAAAGGAGAAATGGTTAGATTTGATTGAATTTTTATGTTTTCAGTGAGTTATATTTAATACAACTATGTGAATATTTATTTTTCATTTAAAATGTATTATATATTGTATTATAAAAACAAATCTCCAGGAAGTATTACATAGAGTATAGTAATATCATGTTTATTATCAACCCCAAATCACTATTTTTTTTTGCTTGCAAGTAATTTTTTTGTGAAGGGCAGAAATACTGAGCTTGCTGATATTTCAATAAATCCAATGAATGACCCAAATAAAATAAAACTAAGTCATCGAAACAACATCTGCTGGCTATGGCAAAAACAAAAAACGAAAACTTATTTATCATATCCCTTTTTATTTACTTTTTCCTCAATTCCCAACTTGACTTATTTTTTGTGGCAATCAAATGAAGCTGCATAAGCATCGTATGTAAATCCAATATGTAAATTGATGAAAATAAAAATAGATATGCAATAAATACGAAAGCCATATAGCCAGCCAGCAGCAACAAATAAGTAAAAATGCAGTGGAAATTATTTGCAAATCGAGAAAAGAACGAGGATTCCAGATGGTTTTTTGTGGTTGTTATTGTTGCGACTGGGTCACGCATTTATTTTCTTTTTTTTTCTTTTTTTTGTTGTTGGTGCGTGGACAAAGCGACGCCGCTGGAAGCCATAAAATTTACGCACATATATCCATCGAATAGTCTGGCGTCTGGGTGTAACCTTACTTTTTATGCAAAACGAATCAAAATCCAATTATAAACCTAACGCATGTGTGTGCCGGCAAGTGTTAGGAGGTGGAGGGTCAAAATGGGGGCTCTAAGGGACACCCAACTGCAACTACAACAATTATGCCAACAGCAGGACTTGGTCAGGCGGGGCGGTAATGAAAAATTCAATTTTGGTAAACAAAAGAAGCGAGCGAAAGCGCGATTTAATATACATACGAGCATATGTGCGTGAGAGTGCATCGATACGCATGGGGTGTACACTGAGAGAAATAGAGTGAATAAATATTTATGAATAATATATAATATATACAATTTTATGTAAATTTTATTTCATTTAATTTATTAAGAAATTGTTGAAGAATATCTGTTGAAGCATAAATTTCCTAGAATATTTTTTATTATTATTCAACATATATATTTCCCTTATTTTTAGGCCCCTCAGAACGTGTTTTCATATTATCATAGCATCAAGAGAACATAAAATCATTATAAAATAGGTTGAGAACGATTCTTACTCGAATTTTGGGGGAACCAAAATAATTTCTCTAAATACTTTTTAATACCTTTTCTAGGTAATCTAGAATTAAATTTAAAAATTTTCAAAAACCAAACAAAAAATTGTAATACATTGCCTAAAACGTCAAATTATATTTTACATTTATTAAATATTTTTATTTATTTGCAAAATTGAACAGTTATAAAATTAGCTCAATTTTATTTTTTTTGCGTAAATTGGCGCTGTACATATGCGTTCTTGTGTTAACTTGGTATGGGCCCATTCGTCCAAAACTCATTTGCATATTTTACGAATGAATGGAAAGTTTGCCATGGTGTTTTGTGTACCCTAAACGACAATTTCAGTGGTTGAAGTGTTAAACATACCAGCTTTCGATGACCCTAAATTTCAACAGTGAACATTAGGTTTTTTAAAGTAAATAAATAAGATATTTTTTAGGAAACTAAAACCTAACATATACGCTATTAGTTTATTATAAAATATATATTTATAATAAATAATGCGAGATAAAGTAAGCTCCAAGCTAATAAAAGAATGCACCTTTAATTCAAAAAGATCTAAACCAAATTTAAGCTCGTAAGTAATTACAAATTAGTATATGTAAAAAGTAAATGAAGTTACATACTCCCTAGCCAGCCAAGTTCTACGATGGCCCGAGCAGTGATCAGATACAGTGAGGTGACGACCAACGACGCGAGCATAATGGGGAAGCCCATGTAGAAGAATTCCATGAAGCTTATTTTGTAGCCATGGTCTTCGGCAATTGCCGCCACAAATTCATTGGACAGGGAGGCCAGCAAGGTACCATTGCCCCCAAAGTTCGTTCCGAGCAAGAGGGCCCAGATGAGCGACATCAACGGGATGTTTACCTCATCGGCATGTTCAATCTCATAGCAAACCATCATAAGAACGGCCGCAACTGCAGTGTTTTCAAAGAAAGCGGATAACAAAGCAGACGACCACAAAAGGATCAGCATGCTAGCTATGATCTGCTGATTGTATTCCACATTCGTCACTGCAGTCACCACCTGATGACCCAGCCAGGTGATGAAGCCCAGCTCAAGAACTGCCTCGCTTATGATGAACAGGCTTGCTATGTAGAGCAGAATTCTCCACTCGATCTTAGCCAGCAATGGACCGATGTCGGGCTTGTTGGCCAGGATGAGCAGCAGGAAGGCGGCCATCATGGAGATCCAACCAAAAGATGATTGCGGAATTATACTTGGCAATGATCTTAGGATAAAGCCCGCGATGATAAAGAGCACGGCGATTCCGATATGTATCAGCAGGGTTAGGTCCATGGGCGATTGGTACGCCTCCACGGTGGCCAGGATGTTGAAGTAATTGGGCACCGGCTTAAGCCAGCTCCCTTTATCGGTCAGCATCTTTCTCCTCAACTCCTTCATGCGATTCCGGATCTCCCGCGTGGGTTTCTTCATGGCGCGCCTCCTCTCCAACTGATAGTCGTCAATCTTATAGATTCGCTCACCCACAAAGACGAAGATCAATCCAAAAATAGTTAACATACAGAGCACACATGGCGGCAGCATGTTTCCCGTGAAGTATGCGAAATTGATTTCGTAATCACCTATCATACGATCGATTATGAGTATGTTATCTGGCGCTCCCATCGGCGTCATGGATCCACCCAGATTCGCGTACATGGCCAGCATGATGAGTACGATTTTGGTGTTGATAAATGCGGCCTCACACAGCCTTATGGAGGCTGGCGCCAGGAGCATGATGACTGTAACATTATCCAGAACGGCAGACATAAAGGCAGCTATCATGCACAATAGGTAAATGAGAAGCCATGCATGTCCCTTGGAGGTCCTGTACGCCACCAGTGTAACGTACTCAAAGAATCCCGTGTCACTCATCGCAGCCACCATAAACATACTGCCCAGAAGTACCATCAAGGCCCCATAATCTATCCAGCTGGTGATAATTTCGAAGGTGGGCAGGCGTCCCATACAAGCCAAAAGGGTCAGTGAAGCAACGGAAATGAGTATACAGCCTAAGCAGCGATCTATGTACTCCGTGATGATCAAAGCGTACAGGGCGATGATCAGGATAAGGGTATATACCACTCCCATTGTGGTTTCCTCCTCAGTATTACTTAAAATCATTAGCAGGCCCACCGGCAACTCACTCTGGCTCTCCACCGAAACCACCGACACGGCACTACCCCATTCTTCAGCGGAAATTGGCTCGCTTTTCGGATATCCGTAGGGTTTGTCCGATGGGGAGACCTAAGATTAGAGAGGAGCTTAAGTAATAAAATATAATATTATATTATTAAATGGTTTACCTGTAATTTCTTCAACACATGCTTGTACTCGCTAACATTCGACGACAGGTACACTTTCCACAACTTTGAGCGAACAAAGATCTTTTTCAGGGTGGAATCACGCCACTCCGCCCGGACATGAACAGAGGGCAAATCCTTGATATATTGTTTGTCTGTATAATCCTTGTGTATTGGTCCCTTAAATTCCACGTTGACGACATTGTCCGGAAATGTTATCTTCTTCAATACGGTTGCGTTTGGCATCACAACGATCGTCATTTTGATCTCCTCCTCTGGATGGCTTATACTTAAAATGGTAACGAAGAAGACCCAAAGCAGTAGAAGGATTGACATCCGGAAAATCCTAAAAAAATAACCCCGGCGGGATCGCGACCTTCCGTTCTCTGTCTCTTCGTTCATTATTTAAATATTTTTAAAAATTTATACTTTAGCTTGAATACGTTACGAGATAATCACTAAGTATTTTCATTTGCTCGATAAGCCAAGTCGTACTGGGTTTTGGTTTGGGTTTTTATCTCCATTATTTGTTTCATGATTCTCTCTCATGGCGGTTAACCAACTTTAATGCATTTTTCTTTAACCCAAAGTCAAAGCCGAGATTATCGATTCCTTTGGCAAAATAGAAATGGGTTTTCTCTGAATTTCAATTATCTGCACTTTTCCCGGGCAGAAACTTGTGGCAACAGCTGTTGACCGCTCAACTTTGCCTATGATATGTGGTCTGGTCTAACCTAATAAGAGCAGAACTCAAGACCAGAGAACATTCCAATTTCAGACAGCAAAAGGGAAAACTTGAGCAGAGCCACAGAGAGAGAGAGAGAGAGTCCGCAGTCCGAGTCCAGCTCAGTAAGTAGGGCAAAATATAGTAGGTGAAAGCCATTTTTCCCATTTCCCAGCAGACCATCAAAAATGTGCAGCCATGATATGTGGCGTTGAGAAAATGTTGCCTTGCAATGCAAAACTTTTAATAATCCCGCAAAAACGAAAGAAAAACATGGAGAATAATGGCAAATCCAACTGAGACAAGCTAGTATGTACAAAAATGGACAAAACAATATTTGATGCATGACAAATGTAGAGAAAGATTGTAGTTATTTCAGGCAAATACAATGGGTGTCATTCAAGGAGGTTAGTCGGGCGTGAAAAGTTCTGCAAACAAAAAAAAATATATGTAGATTATGTTACCCAGGAGATGAGTTGTATCTTCCGCATTAATTTCCCATTTCAGATCCGGTAATTTTTCTATTTTCCCCCCTATCTACGTGTGGCACTTATAATCCACTTCGGGTTTCCCCACAATTTGTCGCCATCAACATAAATCTAAATCAGCTCTCTCACTCTCTGCACGTGCCACACACAGTGTGTGTGAAGCTATCGTTCTCCAAAAGAAAAAACCCATAGCAATCTGTTACAAATTCCCACCTAAATATTTTTATTTATCTCTTGTTTTTTTTTGCCAGCTTTCTTTTTTAATTCGCACAAGTGGGAGAGACGCAACTTTAAATGGCAGCGTTGTTAATTGGAAATGAAGTGCAATACAGGGCAGAGCATAGCAGCACACAGACTGTCTGAGATCCGCTTCAAATGGCAGGTAGCGTAATGAAAATGGTCACCGACCCATACAGGTGTTGTATGTTGCCTAGGCAATTAAATAGGATTTTTTCCCCTTCCACACACACACACACATTCCCGTGGCACAACACATTAATTTGTATGACTGAATTGTGTCTGGAATTTTTGAGCAAAAAAAGAGTAAACATTTTGCACACTGCAAAAATAACAAGCATTTGGAAAGTGATGAGGGAAATCAAGTGAAAATCCTACAGCTTAATATTTTACTTTTTGGTAACTGATTATAGGACTTTAAATACTTTAAGTGTATCGTTATAAACTCCAATTACTTTGGTTTTCAGTTACATTCCTGCCTGTGTCGTATACCAAATTTTATGACAGTTTATGCAATTTTCTAGCCTAGTTTTGGCATTTCTGTACTCTGGTTATGCCTGCTACCATGTCCTTGCTTAATTAGCAAAACAAGAGGAGACGAGGCACTGTTGCCAAATTTTCCGACCCTTAGCTTTGCACAAATGTTGTCCTTCTATCCCAGAATGCCGACATCTGGCCAAGCGGACCCCTAACGACATACGGGAGCTAGAAGCTAGGAGCCCAGAACCCAAGAGTTGAGGACAAAGTGTAAACCCAAAACCAAAAAACAAGACGACTGTCGGAATGGCAGTCACTTTGACAGTTCGGATGGCGCATGGGTCACGCCCACATTATGTCTGTGTATATTGTACACTGCGAATATTATGTGGGTGATGTGTCTACATCGCACTCCTGCACATTTACACCCTTTCAGGGGGGGTGTTTTCACTTTGTCACAGAAATGTACAGCGGTGTCAAGGAGGCAGTTTGGTCTATTTAAATGTGATGCCTAACTTTTCAGTATGTCATTTACATATTTTATTAAATATTTTTTTATAGGAGGTAAATTAAATTTGGTAATTATTTAAAGTTCTTGTTGTCTCACAGAATGTAAAAGTATAAGTACCTGTAGAATTTTCTTCGAAGAGTATTTAAGCATTCACTGCCCATACCCTCGCCTTCCATTATGTAATTGCGTAGGCGGCTTTTCCACCAAAGGTGGCCAAAGTATCAACTCGAAGCGGTCTGGAAAGGCCTAAGAATGGCTTAGGCTCCCTTCCAGGAGCTCATTACCAAATGCCACTGCAGCGGCAGCAAACAGAAGCTCAAGCAGCAGTGGCAGCTGCTGTTAAACGTCTTTGAAGTCGATGGCTCAGTGGGCCAAAGGAATGCCAAAGGACCGACCCCAAGGACCCCAAGAGAGGAAGCTCTGCGAATCCAACGGATCCAATGGTGCAGATGTGGATGAACGAAGGTGGTTATGGCCTCATAAGTGGGCTTATTTGAATTTATTGTGGGAATTGCAGGGGGCGTTGCTGTGTCGCGTCGCCGCAGATCAAAAACAATAATTTACTTGATTTCACTTTTCGGCGGCTGCGTCTCCAATTTCCCAGCACAAAGTTCAAGGGGGCGTGGCACGCAACTCAAATTGTGTGGAATTATGTAGTGAAACGGCGGGGATTATTATTCGGGTTGAGTCCCCCGGCTAATTGCCAAAGGGTTCTCCTCATTCTCCCTGGCTTTCTGGCATTAGCTAATGAAAAGTTTGCCAATTCAAATGAAACCCTTTAACCTGCGAGGGCGTTGAGAATTTATTTTATTTTACAAAAAAAGTCAAAAAGAGAAAACAAAGTGAGTAAAGAATTATGTGCCACCTTTTGAGTACCGAAAATTGGCAAAAGTTCAGATTGATATATCGCAGGCAATAAATTCCTTGAAAAAATTCAATCGAATTTTTGTTTTATTCAAAAACTCTGGCGATAACATATGGCTTTTCTAGAATTTTCTGTGCAAAAAAAACCTCTTCAGCTCGTTGACTGATTTATGAGCGTATGTACAACAATTTTCTATGCAAAAGTTAAGCTACAAACTTTTCTGCCTGCATTATAAAGATGATAATCCCAGTGACAAGTAGCCCGCCCGTCCGCCTTCCCCTTTGGATTACCAACTCTCCGTCCAACTGACGTCATTTTGGCCAGAACAATGAAAAAAGCCAGTCGGGCACAAAAACTCTTCAGCATATACACAAAGAAAATTAAAAGGAAATATTTGAAAATTAAAAAAAAATTAAATAAAATTATTTGATAACATTCAAATTATGTAGTAAATTTTATAGATTATAGATTTTTAAGAAAGTTTAAAAACTTTAATCAAATAAACTTAGAAATGTAAAAAATGAGAGTTCTTTAAAGGAAGTTTTCTATAATTTTACAGCCTTGAAAGTTTATTATTATTCTTTTGATTTCTAAAAAATTTTTATAGTTTTTTTTCTCTGAGTGTTCTCATAAATGCAAATTGTTATCATGTAGTTGGGGCCATTATATACAAGTAATACTTTTCTCTGTTTCTTTATTGCGGATTATGAAAATGAGCATTTTGCCATTTGCATAATTGATATTTAAAATAGGAACAAGCCCAAATAGGAATAGACGAAGAAACTTAGCTTTTGCAGCATTAATTGAAAAATAATACGTAAGAGACATGCCCACTGGCTGGCCGGAGGATAAAACGAGCATAAGTTGAGCTGCTTGAGCTCCTTTCGTAGGCCACCTACGTGCGGACACATGGCATTCTGTGTCCTGTGTGTGTATCTGTATCTTTTGCCTGCGGTGATGTGCTCCCACGTTGCGAAAAAAATGAAAAGGGGAAGAGATATGGGGTCCTCCGTCTGGGTGCAGTGAAAAGTTAATGATGTTGCTGGCACACATACATTTTTCAGCATTTAGGTTTGTAATTAAATTTTGAAACAACTGCCAGGCAATACGGAAGGAGTAATTGCATTTGCGAGTTACATACAGGCACGTGTCCTGTTTGGGGGCTATTTAATATGCAATTAAACGGTTATCGTGGGCCGTCTTGGCCAGAAACAGCATTCGGTATCCCCTCGGCAATCAAATTTGCGTTATAATGGCTCTAAAAGTTGTTAATTCTTTGGTAAAAAAATTCAAAGAAATGTTGGGAATTTAAAATGCTAATTTTGTGAGTTTTTTATTATTTTATTTATAATATTTATTTACTTATTATTGAAGTAAAAATGCCTAAAATTATTTAACAGTAGCTAGAAATAAATATAATAATATCCTTTAATAAATAAAATTTATTGTTGGTATAAATCATAAATAAAAAATTATGTTAGTGCATTATAAACTTCGAATTACTAAAATTTACAAAATATATGTACATAAAATGCTCATCATCAGAGCCGTTTATGTACTCTTTGCCGACGACGCAATTTAACCTGCCAACCATAATTCGATTTGCTTTCATTTGTTTAATAAAATATTTAAAATTAATGTCGGTTGGCAAACATTGAGGACAGAACAAAAGGGCTCGTTAAATGCAAAATTTGTGACGTTATAATAAAAAAAAATATCCAAACAAATAGTTAAACACGGGCTGATTTATATAGTAGGCGTAGGTGTTTGCTTTTGTTGACTCTATTATTATTTTTTGTTATTTTTCCATGTAAGATGAAATTGAAAACATAAATAAAGGGATGCTGCTTTGATTACCTTTGATTAAAAATCTAATTAAAATAATGTATTTTATAGTTAAAACTAGAAAATACCTTAAAGTTGATTTCAAAATTCAAATTTAATTGCTAAATACTTAAA